TGCTGCATCTCTGTAATTTTATTTTGAACTTTCATCGACACTTTGAAACAAAAAAAATCCTCCATACAACCTTTAAGACAACTGAGTATCACTGTCTTTGTCTCCCTCTGTGTTTTAACTCACAGTTACATTTTTGTTGGTACTGTAGATATTAAAAAGATTCATCTGTGTGAGCGCCCTCTGGAGGTCATGGTTAAAACTGTCATTTTTAATCAGTATTTTTAAATGACCTCATTAATAAAGCAGTGCAGTTTTAATCTGGACACAATAATGCTGCATGTGTATTCTGCAGATTCACTATAGACCTGCCCACACACCTGAGGTCACATGACTCCAGGTGAAACTGGTCCGACAGGTGACAGAGTAAAAGTATTTGGAGACGACACTGACGCAGTGAGTATATCTAATATTTTACACAAGAAATCAAACATAAATTTGGGTTTAGTAACTTATTGGTAATTACAGAACTTCCTGACAATCAGACTTTTAAATTCCATGTATTTAATTTGAAAAGAGCTTCTATATTCCTTACAGACGTCCTATGTGACTTTTCAGGAGGAAGGAACTCAAACTCCCCGTCACCCCACAAATGATGTTACTTTGTTCAGAATGTTACAAAATATGGCATTAAACCTAATTATCTTTATTAATTTATTCAGTTATGGGTGTTTTTATTGCCAAAAAACATGCAACTTTTGTCTGGACAAAGCAATAATAACTCCATCAAGGAAAGTAGGCAAAGTTTCCGTCACCAGAAAAGTGACACAGTGCAGCTTTAAGTATTTTCTCTGAACTAGTTTAGTCTCTGTTTAGTTCTGTTTGTAATGTGTTTGTTACTCCTGTTTTAACCCTGATCTCAACCATTAAACAAATAAAATAAAACAAGAAAATCCAGTTCAGTGTAATGTTAGTATGTGACCAGCAGAGGGAGACACAGACAGATCAGACTCTGGGTGCAGCAGGAGACATCTCTGTATGTTCTGTTCAAATGGACTCTTCTTCTGATTCCAGCTCCTACAACATGGACCCACCTGGACCTGGACCCGGGTCTCAACCCAGACCTGAACCTGCTCCCAGCTCTGTGTCTCTGAAAAGTGACCGCTCCAAAAATTATCCTCCAGACTTTGAAGAAGAAGCTCCTCCTGAAGACCAGTGGTAAGAACTTAATCCAGAGCCTGGACAGGAATCAGGATCACAGGGTCTTCTACAGATTGTACAAAGGTCTCATAGAATCGACTGTTCTGAAACAGTACTGCCCTGAACAGAGTGAAACAACTAAAGTCCAGTATATTATGTATTTTATTTATTTAAAAGGCTCTTTCTGAAACACATAACCAACAGTAACCATAGTCTTAAGACCTCAGCAGATCTGAGGCTAAGCTCATTCTCCATCAGACCTGATGGGTCTAAATGGGCCCAAAGGCAGCAGGTCCCTCCTTCAAGCTGTTCACTGTCTTTGTGTGAACCTCCTTGTGTCCAGCCCCACTGTGGTGCAAATATAAGAAGGACACACTGCAAAAGCTCAAAGTGTCTTCTAATGATGTCCTCAGAATGCTGCTGAAAAAGTCCAGGGTCAGTAGTTCCAGTCTCCTGTTCTGTCAGGCTCATGTGAACTTTTCAGGTTCTCATGACAAACCTGGTGTATAAATCCATCTGTGGCCTAAATGAGTCTGTGAACTCTGTGGTGGTGATGCTGGTGAGTGTCAGGTTTAGTTCTGTGCAGTAACACTGCTCTTTATGGAAACACTGATCTGTCTTTTATAACCCTGTTTTACTCTTGTCTCTGTCTTATTCTGTTCTTTTATGGACCATGAGTCTGGAATAAATAAATGATGATGAGTTTATTGTTTGACAGGGAGCCAGGCCCAAAGGAGCAGCTGGACGCCATATTCAGGGTGAGTACCCCACGAGCGCAGCATGTGTGGGGTTCTCTGGGTGCTCCTCAGGTGCTCTCTTTGACTAAAACTCTTCTCTTATTGTTCTGTTCCAGCGTCTGGAGGAGAATGTCCTGACTTTTGTCAAAGAGCAGCTGCAGAGGCTCCACAGGCTCCTGGCCTCAGATTACCCAGAATGCTCTGAGAGTGAGGAGGAGGAGCAGAGCAGCAGAGAGGTTCTGAACATCACCCTGGACTTCCTGAGGAGGATGGACCAGGAGCAGCTGGCCCAGCGCCTGCAGAACAGTAAGAACTCTGTTACTGTCCATCTGAGGAACAGACCACACCAGACTTGACTTCACAGTAACAAAAGTCTACAGGTGTTTGAGGCTCACAGAAAGTACTATGACCCGTACATTAGGAGGGAGTTTTATCCACCTGAGGAACAGATGCTGGATATAATCTGTTTAACTTAAAAAGACCCATGTGTCATTTTCTGATCTATGTTATAATGTTTCCTCATCACAAACAGACCTGGAGTATTTTGTTTCATTCACACATGTTTAACATGTTTGTACTCTGTTTACTTTAAAGGTGCACTATGTCACTTTTCTGGTGGAGGGTCATCACCTTCTTATCTCCATGGAGATGCTGTTGCTTTCACAGGAATTTTCATGCCAATGTTTATGTTGTTATGTTTAATGCCATTGGTATTTTTAATTCCCATGTTTTGACATCCACAAGAAAACACACACACACACACACACACAGAAACACAGACAACACACACACACACACACACACACACACAGACACACACACACACACACACACACACAGAAAAACACACACACACACACAACACACAACACACACACACACACACACACACACACAGCACAACACACACACACACACACACACACACACACACACACACACACACACAGAACACACACACACACACACACACACACACACATACACAGACACACACACACACACACATACACACACACACACAGACACACACACACACATACACACACAGAAACACACACACACACATACAGACAACACAACACACACACACACACACACACACACACACACACACACACACACACACACACACACACACACACACACACACACACAGACACATACACACACACACACACACACAGAAACACACACACACACACACAGACACACACACAGAAGACACACACACAGAAACACACACACACACACAGACACACACACACACAGAACACACACACACACACACACACACACACACAGAAACACACACAGAAACACACACACAGACACATACACACACACACACAGAAACACATACACACACACACGCACAGAAACACACAGACACATACACACACACACAGAAACACACACACACAGACACATACACACACACACACAGAAACACATACACACACACACAGAACACACACACACACACACACAGAAACACACACACACACAGACACACACACACACACACACACACACACACACACACACACACAGAAACACACACACACACAGACACATACACACGCACACACATACACACACACACACAGAAACACACACACAGACACACACACACACACAGACACACAACACACAACACACACAACACACACACAGAGAAACACACACACAGACACATACACACACACACACAGAAACACATACACACACACACACACAAACACACACACACACAGACACACACACACACACAGCACACACACACACACACACACAGAACACACACACACACACACACACACACACAGACACACACACACACACACACACACACACACAGAAGAACACACACAGAAACACATACACACACAGACACATACACACACACACACACACAGACACACACACACACACAGAACACCACACACACACAGACACACACACACACACAGAGCAAACACACACACACACACACACACACACAGACACACACACACACACACACACACACACACACACACACACAGAAACACACAAACACACAGAAACACACACATCACGTGTGACATGAAATATACTGTGTCATTTTTCTGGTGGAGGGACTCTCTTGTTTCCATGGAGATGTTTTTGCTTTGCCTGGAATGTTCCACAATATTTAATATAACATTCTATCATTTATTCAATTATCTGTGTTTTTATTGCTCTTTGAAAAACATACATTCTTTATGTGAACAGGGTCATTTCTCCACAAATGTGAACTGTAACTGTAACTGTCCAGCTGGTGTCATGTGCTTGTCTTCATGTTGTGTAATGACATACTGTGGAACATTTCAGGTAAAATTACATATCTGGGGAAACAAGCAGGTTGCACACACTCCACTAGGAAAGCCACGTTCTGCAACTTTACCTTTACAATTAAAAGTAGCTAATTTTATATCCACCTCTAGTTCAGAAGAAGTTAAGATGAAGTTTTCAGAAGGAGCTTGAGTTGACAGTTGTTTGTGTTTTTATTCAGGAAACACTGTTGGAGTTTGTCAAGATAAACTGAAGTGTGATCTGCAGCAGAGGTTCAGTCGTGTGTTTGAGGGCGTGGCTAAAGCAGGAGACTCCGCCCCCCTGACCCAGATCTACACAGAGCTCTACATCACAGAGGGCGGAGCCTCAGAGGTCAACCAGGAACATGAGGTCAGACTCATGGAGACGGCGTCCAGGAGACCGGCCGCTCCAGAGACCATCACATGTGAAGAGCTCTTTAAACCCCGCCCACATTCACCAGAGCCAATCAGATTTGTGCTGACGAAGGGCGTGGCCGGCGTGGGGAAAACAGTGCTGACTCAGAAGTTCAGTCTGGACTGGGCTGAAGGCCGGGCCCACCAGGACCTCCAGCTGCTGTTCCCGTTCACTTTCAGAGAGCTCAATGTGCTCAGAGACACACAGTTCAGCCTGGTGGAGCTGCTGCACCACTTCTTCAGTCCATCCAAACATCTCTGCAGCTTCCAACAGCTCCAGGTGCTCTTCATCTTTGACGGTCTGGACGAGTGCAGACTTCCTCTGGACTTCAGTCGAACCCGAGTCCTGAGCGACCCCACAGAGTCCACCTCAGTGCACGTGCTGCTGGTGAACCTCATCAGGGGGAGCCTGCTTCCCTCCGCTCTCCTCTGGATAACCACGCGCCCCGCCGCGGCCAATCAGATCCCTGCTGAGTGCGTCTCCATGGTGACAGAGGTCAGAGGGTTCACCGACCCACAGAAGGAGCAGTACTTCAGGAAGAGGTTCAGAGACCAGGCCACAGCCGTCATCTCCCACATCAAGAGCATCCGCAGCCTCCACATCATGAGCCACATCCCGATCTTTCTGCTGGATCCTCTCCACAGTTCTACAGAAACTTCTGGAACAAACAGAACCAGAGCTGCCCTGGACTCTCACACAGATGTACGTCCACTTCCTGGTGGTGCAGGCCGAAGTCCAGAACATCAAGTATCACCAGGGATCAGGGGAGGACCTTCACTGGACTCCAGAGACCAGGGAGATGGTGAAGTCTCTGGGAAA